AACTCACAGCCCTGCCTGGTCAGGTTGTGCTTAGAGATGGAGAAATGAGACCTAAAGTCTTGCAGGGATTAAGCACCTGTCACCAAAACCAGCAGGAAGGCGGGGGGCAGTTACCTGTGTCAAAGGCACTCTGAGTGACGCCCCAGACCAAGTCGTCACCAGCACGTGACACCCATAAACCTGACCTCTCCCTAGTGGCACTAAAAAGAAGAGGGAAAATGCAAAAGCAGTGCAGCTGGTGGGTAGAAATCCATTCCAGACACAATTCACACCAGCACAGAGGTGTCCAAATGAGCCTCCACCCATAGTCACTCCTGATCTAGAACCATGGAATGGTTTGGGTTGGAAGGGACCTTAAAGATCATCAAGTTCCAACCCCCTGCCATGGGCAGGGACACCTCCCACTAACCCAGGTTGCTCAAAGCCTCATCCAACGTGGATCTTTGTGTAGCCCAGGTTGCCCAAAGCCTCATCCAACGTGGACCTTTGTCCCTGAGTGATCTCCACCATGCAGAATTGACCCACTGAGCCCCAAGTGATGGAGACAGTCATAAGAACAGTGTCTTTCTATGAGAAATGTCACCTTAGGGTGACAGAGTTTACAACAAGGGACTGAAGTTTTCCCAGGGCTTCAGAAGAGCCCATCCAGTGACGTTAGGAAGAACAGCCTCAAGAAGTCACATCTGCATTAGCACGAGACCACAGCCATTTCTAGGTCACCCCCAAGAAGTTTTTATAGTCAAAATATGACTTTGCCACAGGAGATGCTGGTGGCTGAGGAGCAGGAGGGAAGACCATAAGCCACACACAACAGTGTAAACTTGAAGACTTCAGCTTGTCCCACAGTGATGGCAAAGGCACCTACTCCTTGTTCAGAAGGACAGGGTCAAAATGCTTCTGACACAGTGGTTGTCCATGGCCAAGCCATCTCACAACACAGCCAGAGATGGGTAAAAGGAACCTCTGGAGGTTATTTAGCCCAACCTCCTACTCAAGGCATGTCTCTGAATAATACCAAGTCCTCTCATCCAAGGATGTGGCTCCGGAGCCCTGTGATGTGTTTGGCTGTGTGGTGTGTGCACATGATACATCCACATCACCAGTGCAAATTTACACAATTTATTCCTTTACTTTCAACAGCCTTAACCAGCATGGCCTCTCTCCCACCCCAGCTTAGGGGATGATGTTTTAAGATCCTGTCTTCCACTCCTCTTCCTGCTTCCATAAGAACACCAGTGCCATACCCACCCATGAAACACCAACCCAGACCTGCATGATCCTCCAGTAACTGTGCTGGAGGCTCAGATGCATGATCTGGGTTGAGAGTGAAAGACAAAGAATTTGAGAGAAGACATGAAGTCAGCAGGCCAGTGTCTAGTGACCTGTCATCGCTCTGGTGAAAGCAGCCAGGAGATCTTTGCCAAATTACACACCAAATTTCATACACTGAGGGCAATCTGGATTCCCAGTTTCCAAGAATAAAGATACAAACCACTCAGGGGATCTGTACAGGAAACAGCTCAGATGTGCAGCAGAAATAAGGTCAATCTGCTTTTCAAGTGACATCAGAACCTCGGGCAAAGCCAGGCTGGCGTCATTCCTTATCCCAAATCTGTGTGTTCCATATGTCTGTATGCATAGCCTGTGATGTTTTTCTTAAGGGAACTCTCTAAGGCAAATCTGTTTTAGGATTGTCCCCAAGATGCTGTGGTTCAGATCTATTTTTATGGCTGACCAGGGTTTCTACATGGGGCAAATGAGAACCGACAGCTTGGGACGCAGCTGTCAAGACCAAATCTACTTGACTGCCAGCCGTATTTCCTGGTCCAGAGGAGAAGTGCCTTTCTGCTTTTCTTTCCCACAGGCTCCAGGATAGGCTATGTATCCATGACACCATGAGTGGCAACATTACTCGGCATGGGGCTGTGCTCCGTATCATTGTGGGTGGTGGGGATCATGGCCCCCTGATCCTCCTCCTGGGCCAATACCACCAGACCATCCCCATGGCCATCTTCAGGAGTGTCCACATGGTAGGGGGACTGTTCTGTGTCCTGCTGCCCGAGACCCGTGGCACCACCCTGGCTCATGACATGAGGGCAGCTGTCCCCAGGCTGAGGTGGGTACCTGGATTCTGAATTTAAGGCAAAAATTATCCAAAGGTGCAAATTTAAGGCAAAGATAAATATACCAGAAACTGGGATGGAAACCTTCTTGCATTCAGCAGCAGGACACTGGAAATTTTGTCCAAGAGAGACACCACTGAGAATGGAGTAGACTCAGAGAAGTACATCTACAGATGCTCAAAGAGCAAGTGATGAGTGGACAGGCATATACTAAAGGTCTAGTCTGATCCAGTCTTTCTTAAAGCAGACCAACGAGGCATCGCTGTCTGGAAACTGGTCTTTCAGATGATCAACAAAATGCTCGTGGTCAAAGGGAGAGGAGACCTGGGTCACTCTGCATTTGGAAAAGATGCACTTCAAACTGTTCCTGAAGCCCAGTCCCTTTGCCCAGCTGTGCGAGCCCTCCCGACGTGTTTCCCAGTCCTTTACAAACTGGTACCCGTGGAACCATCCCTGTCGTGTTTCACAGCAATAAAGAATTGCCAGGAGAGTGGTAGTACTGGGCAAGCGAGTGCCGGGCTGTGTCCCTCCTGCACTAATGGCTTGGGTCGTCAGCCTTCTCCTCGGTCCAAGCCTCGACGTTTGATCAGGATGTCACTGAAACCCTGTCACACACGTATTTAGCCTTTCTTTCTGTGTGGTGTTGAGTTTGAGTTTCTACATGAATAATATAAATTATACTCTTGAGTTTGATAAGACACTTGTAATGCAATATGTGAATAATAAATGGTGTTGATTTTTTTTTTCCTACTGTTTCACAGTTGGCCTTTGTAACTGCTATTGGCTCTGGAGTGTTTTCTACACAGAAACTGTAAGCCTGTAATTTACCACACAGATGGAAACGTGTTTGGTTTCCATCAGCCACAAACAATGCAGAAACAGAGTGTTAAAGCAGAATGACTGGGTTCAATCAGAACTCTTCTTTTATTTCCAAGTCTCCCAATGAACAATCTGTATTTATTTTCTCTACGAGCAGCTGTGGAAGTTTCCTGAATTGCACTGTGTATGCTGCAATTCAGCATCGTGATCGCCTTTAACCGTGACCTTGGATGGCTGCTGCCAGCTCAGACACAACATTTTAGTGTCATTCAGTGTCATGCAAAAGAAAGAGAAGGGTGGCCTCCTCTCCCACTCTAATTGTTTGGAAGCAGAGAATGTATTTGGTGCCCTTTCAGGAAGCTATCTCCTCAAACCACAGCAGTGGCCAAGTGGTCTCCTTGGTCCAAGGAGAAGGCTGGTCACCCAGGTTTGTAGCATCCTTTTGTTTCCGATTGCTTTGTGCTGCAGTAAATGGTGTCCAAGCCAGCCGTGCCTGGAGGTCTGGCCATGGACCTGGGGCCTTCCCAGTATGGGGCAGGAGGAAGGAGAGGACAGTGCCCTCTAGTCAACGGGCAAGGTCTGGGATCCTGGCAGCTCTCCCCCACAGCCAGGAGTTGCAGAGTATGTCCCACATCTCCTCATCTCACTTCAGGGAACAGAGCCAGGCCAGGTCTCCAAACTAACCAGGTGCAGGGGTCTAGAGAAGAGCAGATGAAATGGATCTTCAGCCTACCGGAGGCAGGAATGAGACAGAAGCAGAAGTACATCAGATGTGCTTGGACACCTTTATTTATGAATTAAGCTGAAACAGTCTCAGAGCAGAATTCCCCAAAGGAGCCATGGTTCACTAAATAACCATGCATTTTGGTCCAAGCTCTTCCCTCAGCCTTTACCCTTAACACCTTTTTTTTTCCATAAAAGCCCAAAGGAGGCAGCCACCAGCCTTTGCAAAGGAAAGAGGGCCCTCGGGCAAAGGACTGAGCTCCTCTATACTCAGGGCCACAGAACAGGAGCACCACAGAAGATCCTTCAAAAAGCAGTGTCAGAGAGAGAAGATGGCACCACAGGCAGCCCCTCCTGCCGGGGCATTGTCCTCGTGACATTGGTTTTATCCAAAATCCTGTCTCCATCACACTACATATCCATGGGGTACTTTGATACATGGAAAACATGCAGGCATGACAACAGGGAGAAGAGATAAAGTCTCCTTTGAAAGTTTCTTGGCACTACCAGAAAATAGCCCTTGAGGTGGACACAGACAAAGCTGGAACACCACCACTGTATAACTTCTGGGCTTCACCTGTAAAGTCATCTTGAGGGACAGGAGATAAGAGGAAGGGAAGCACAGGAAAAAAAATCTTTTTTCTTTATAGTATAAGACAAAAGTGGTTATAAACCACCCAAAGAAAGAGACGGATACAGGAAGAAGCAATAGACTAGAAAAAAGTAGAACAGATTTGATAGTTCCCAGAAAGGTCTGAAATTTCTTCTAAGAGACCATCTGCCACAACATCTCTTAGTTTCCTGGAACAAATTAATGCAGTCCTACACCACAGCCCAACAGCACAGTGTTCTGTGCACAAAGCATCATGACATGCTTTCATTCAAAGCCACCAGCACAAAGCCAAAAATCCTGCTGCCTGTTACACACCTTCGCTCACTGCTTGCTGTTTCTTCCATCTCACCTTTTTTTCCTCATCTGAGTGTCTTAAATTAAAAAAAGAAAAAATTAACAGGAGTGTTTTTAAGAGAGGGTGAGAAGACCATGCTAGACAGTCAAGAGAGATCACTCCTTGTAAGTGTGAGATTGTTTTCAGTGCTGCATCTGCTCTGGCTTTCTCATTCAGATTTTCTCCATCCAGGGCACTGTTGAACACCAGAGACTGCATGCAGTGCCTGAGGACAAGCCATAGAGGGAGATACAGGAAGGCAAAAAAGGAAAGAGAACTGGCAGTGATGGCTTGAGAGGTGGTGGTGTCCTGCCAATGGAGACCCTGCCTGTCCTCGGTGCCAGCACAGCACTAGGTTGCCTTTAATTACAGCCGCTCGCAGGCCCAGCTAGAAGTACGTAGTCTTTGTCTCGTCTTGGCCACCATCTTTTCCTTTCACGTGTCCGTTTTCAGAGCTGCTGTTGGTGTTTTCCCAGACCTAATGAAAGGGAAAAGAGGTAAAAAAACAAAAAAAAAGACTTGTTAAGAGCTGATGGCAGCCTTTTCCGAGACATGCAGCCTTCAGCATCCTGCCTTCTCATTGACAACCCACTCTCTGGGCCCCCACGGACACCCTGCTCCCATCAGGGCAACAAAAGTGGAGGATGCAATTCCACCCGGTCCCACGGGCAATGGGGTGCTGCTGGGAGGTACAGGAGGCCAAAAGCCAGAGGGCTTGGCTACAAGACACCTTCCCTCCCCTGGGGAGGATAGGGGGGTCAAGCAAAGCACTGGCCATTCCTGGAGTCCTTCCATCCCATGGACGGGAACGAAGGGAAGACCACCATGGGCAGGGTTATGGGGCCTCCTTCCCTCCCTCCACAGTGGGGCAGCCCTGCTCCCTGCCCTCCAACCACTGTGATCTCTCCAAGAACCCCCCAACGCCAGCCCACACAACATCGGTGGCCTCCCACAGGGCTGGCAGCCCATGTCCCAGGTACTCACCTCAGCTGGGGGGCAGCCAGCCCCTGCCTGTGTCATCCGCCAGCTCGGTGCCGCGGGTCTCAGGCAGCAGGACACAGAGCAGCCCCCCCACCACAGGGGCACTCCCGTAGATGGCCATGGGGATGGCCTGGTGGTACTGGCCCAGGAGGCGGATCAGGGGGGCCATTATCGCTGCCACCCGCGACGCCATCGAGCACAGCCCCACGCCGGTCTGCCTGGGGGGTGAGGGGCAGCGGGAGGTGTAGGCAGGGCTTGGTACCCCCCCAGGCCACTGTAGGACTGAGTGTGGCCATGGGGACAACCGGGATCTTGCCCCACCACTGCCACCGGCCAGTGAGACCTCACCTGACGACTGTGGGGAAGAGCTCTGCAGAGTAGACGTAGGAGGTGGAGAAGGAGGCCGAGGCGGTGAACTTGCCGATGACGGCCAGGACAGTGGTCACCACAGGCTGGTCTGAAGGGAGGAGGAGAGACCAGCGCTGTGGGACGAGGGCCCAGCACTGCTCAGAAACAGAGGCTGGGGATGCACGGCAACAGCTGTGTTGTCTGCAGGGAGCCATCACCTCTGAACGGTGCCTGAACGTGGGCCAAGGAGCAGCTCTGGCCTGGGGACCACCTTCAGAGCACTTGGCATCCATCATCTCACCTTCCTACGTATTAATTTTCCCAGAGGACAACTCTGCTAACAGGTGGCCTACGGGGCTCAGCTCTATGCTCTCCCATCGCCATCAGCAGGCAAAGGTTTGCTGATCAGGATGGGCCTTGGGGAGTTGGCCAAGTCCTTTGTGGCCACGGCACCAGGGCCAGCGCAAGCCCTGGGAGGCGTGAGCCAGCCCCGTTGGGAGGACGGGACCTGCACCAGCAAGGGGAGGATCAGGGCTTTGTGCCTCCCTGTCCCAGAAGTGGTCCTCTCAGGATGGGAAGAGCTTGTTCACCTTCAGGGATGCCAGTGATGATCAGACACACCAGGCCACTCAGCAGCAGGAGGACAGACTGGGTTTTCTTCCTCCCGAACCACTGCAGCATGACGATACAACCAAGACGGGCTGGGATTTCCACTGCTCCAAACGCAAGCTGTGTCAGGTAGATGTCCAGACCAAAACTGGTCACGTTCAGACTCAACCCGTAGTAGACAAGGCTGTTCACAAACCTGAAAGCCGGGCAAGGTGGCACTGAGCGTATCTGTTGGCCACGAGCAAATACAATATTGATCTCCAACAACAAAATTTTGACCAAGCCACGGCATTTCCCAGGGGACATAAAACCAGACCAACGCCACAGGGCTGCCAAACCTGGCATGGCTCTAGCATTTCCCACAAACCACATTTTGAACAGCAGGAAACAGAAACATCCATCAATAACACCCCAAAACCACAAGGTGAATTTACAGTTACGACTAATCATCTATCCCTCTTTTCTTCACCTAGAAGTTTGGAAAGAGGGGACCAAGGGATATCTTACCAGGCGCATGACATGATTAAAGTCACCTTCCGGAGGTGCTTTTTCCCAAAGAGATCCAAAGTACTTCCAGACTTGGTCTGTTTCTCAGGCTTCAACTTAAAAATGCAGAAAGCCAAATGAGTTAAACCAGGCAAAGGAAACCCATGGCCAACTCCTTTTCCATCTGCAGCCAAAGAAAAGCCTCAGCTGGACAAGCTTGTGACCCCAGACTGCGCCAGGAGGGAAGGCAGCCCAGTAGGGCTGGGCTCCTGCACCCATGCTCTGCTTGCCCAATGCAGTAATCTGGTGACTAAGAGGTTCCTTGGGAAGAACATTTCCCCAGTGCAGGGACTTTGAGGTGGGCAAGGAGGTAAGCTCCACTTTGGGCATTTATACATGGAAAACCAGAGACTAAACAGAGACCTTGTGCTCATCCTCAACACTCCTACAGAAGAAAAGCCAGGGAAGCATTCGGATCCTTTCCATATCCCAAGGTGGACTCCAGTAAGCTCCAGGCTGAGCCTCAGCAGAAGCTGTGCCTCTTCCCTGACCTTGTCTCTGTACAAGTAGCTGAAGCTGGTCTCACACACCCACAGTCCATCCCCAAATCATCTCCAGAGGACATGGAAAATCACTTCGCAAATGAGCTGCTACGGTGGCTGCTACAAACCCAAGCACAGAGCAACGTCTCTGAAGACAACACGCAGTTTCCTGTGCCATTACGGGTACCTGCTCGAGGAGTCCTGGTGGAATGGTGCTCTTGTTGATGGATGCTGCCTTCTGAAGGATCTTCTTAGCTTCTTCTAGTCTGCCTTTTGTCACCAGCCACCGAGCTGATTCTGGCAGGACCCTGTCAAGGAGATGAAATCAGGAGATGCTGCAGTGACCAGCTGAATTTCCCCACAGCCCATCTCCCTGTGACCACGTCCAGCAAGCAATGCACATTACATGTGACGGACGGGTCTAAATACCAAGGGCCGCATTTGAAGACCCGAAGCAAAGCAGCTCCTGCTCTCAGAGGTCCAGCACTCCAGGGAGATGTGCTGAAGCCCCTCCAGCATCTGCACTCTCAGGGGAAGAACCCAACCTGCTCCTGAGCTGCTGCCTCCTCGCTGCTGGCCCTCACCCCCGCTGCTGTCGTGGCCACAAGGCGCTCTGCCCCACTCCTCCTTACCGGACGCAGAAGAAAAAGGCAAATATGGGAGCAGATCCGGCAATCTCCAGCAGCCTCCAGTTCCGAATACCGTAACTCAAGCCAGCCAAAAGCATCTGCCCGATGGCGAAACAGCAGTGAGAAGTAAGCACTGCCTTGGGCCGGGAGGAGACACCAACCCATTCTGTAGCTGAAAAGAAAAGCGAAGGTTCAGAGTCATGCATGCAAATGATTTTCCCTGATGCAACCAGGGTGTTTCCCCTGGAAAAGGTCTCTGCAGGAGGTGAGGAGACTGGCAGTCAGAGCTCTGGCATCAATCACCCATGCAAGTCACCAGTGTTTGATGAGATCCATGACTGTCAGTGTGTCCTGTCCCTCTGCAAGAGGACATGAAGCTCAGGTATGTCACCTCTTTGCTCCCAGCGTCCCCACAGCCCCTCACTGGGGCAGAGGTGGGGCCCACATCGGTCATGTCCCAGAGCCGTGGGGCTCTTCCCACACCAGCCTGAGCCAGGAGGCTGCGTCCTTGCCCTGCTCTGAACACTGCCATGGGAGAGCTTCTCCCTGTGGCCCTCACCCAGGGTTGGGGAGATGCCAAAGTGCCAAAGGGCGGTGTGGAGCAACACCTGTCCTCACCCCAGTGCTTTTAAAGTCATACATGGTGATTTTTATTTCTTTACAGACCTTTCCTATAGTGCATCTTGAGAGGCCACATCCATCTGCCTCGGGGCAAGAGCATCCTACTCACCCAAGGCCAGTATTGTCATGGTGATCCCTGACACCGAAGCCCCCACGACGCATCTGAAGGCCATGTACACGTAGAAATGGGGCACAAAGGCAATCCCTACACCAAACAAGCCCTGGAGGAAGATGGAGATCAGAATGACTGGCCGGCGGCCGATCCTGGGGAGGAAGAGGGAAGACACAGTCGGTATGTGGAGAGACCCCGTGGAGGTGGGGAAGAGCCCAGAGGGTTACACAGTGGTCGTATCACAGAACCATAGAGTGGTTTGGGTTGGAAGGGACCTTAAAGACCATCGAGTTCCACCCTCCTGCCATGGGCAGGGACACCTCCCACTAGCCCAGGTTGCTCAAAGCATCATCCAGCCTGGCCTTGAGGGTGCTGAGGCTCAGACTGGGCTCCCAGCTGACACATGAAGCACCCTGTGCACATACTGTGCCCTCCTCCCTTCCACCCCCTGTGTGGCCATGTCCTCGCAGGACCGGAGGACTTTGGTCAGGGTCCCCGTCAGTGAGGAGCAGTGACAAAACGCACAGGGTGCAGTGACCGGCCAGGCTGGCATCACCGTGCTGCCCTGTGCACCACTGGCTTTGCACAGACACTGGATGGGTGGTTGTGTCCCCTCACCTGTCACTCAGTGGCCCAAATATGATGGATCCTAGCAACATCCCCACCATGTAGATGGACTGGGAGATGTCATTCAGGTCCTTCCTGTCACACACCAGGTCAAACTGGAGGAAGGAACAGAGATGCTTTTATTCTCAGCAGGCTCCAGATGTTTTCTGATCCCACCTCCAAGGACGTGAGTCTCCATGCAGACCATGGAGCACCCAGTGGTCCCCTTCCCAGGCACAGGGACCTGCCAGATCCTCCTCCAGCCTAGGTACCCCCAGAGCCTCCTGGTTGACAAGTTTTGCTTAAAGTGGGGCTTGGGACAGAAGTCCCAGCACCTCACTTCTCCTAGACTGCCCTCCCGAAGGAAAAAGGGTGAGTGCAACACTGCTCCCTGGGCCAAGAAGTTTCTGTTAAAGAAATGTTCTGTAGCTGCCAGCATCCAGAGAGCATCTATAGGAAGGGTCAGATAGGGAGGAGCATAGAAAGGAAATACAGAGAGATCAGAAAGCACTGACAGAAGTGTAGCACTGCCTACTGGGGCATTGCTGAAGCTCCTGTTGACAGTTACATGAGTGGCTTTACAAGCTCTCCTCTCCTCCTCAAACCTGGGACCTCCGCACAGAGTGAGGAGCCATGAGGAGCACAAGCTGTTTGAGACCACCCTGAGCTGGAGTCACCATGCTGAGACCCCGAGCAGACGCCCCACAGCCACTCGTCCTGAGGGTTCCTCACTATGTGAGGGAGCTGAGACCAAGCACTGAGCCATCCTGCCCCTGGCCAGGGTGCCCAGAGCACAAAGCTGGGCACAGGGACAAGTCAGAAGGTTACCCCCAGCCTGCTGAGAGGCAGCAAGACCCAAAAGGTCCTACCAGGTGTGATTAATCTCACCGCTGGCTCTGCCTGTGACCCCATGGACATCCCTATTTCAGCCTGTTTGCATGCAGCACCCCCAGGACCACACCTAGGGGCTGGGTGGTAGAGCCAAGGTCCCCAAAATATATCTGATATAAATCTCAGCCCAGCCCATTTGCACACAGAATGGCTTGGGTTGGAAGGGACCTTAAAGATCCTCCCGTTCCAACCCCCTGCCACAGGCAGGGACACCTCCCACTAGCCCAGGTTGCTCAAAGCCTCATCCAGCCTGGCCTTGAACCCCTCCAGGGATGGGGCATCCACAGCTTCTCTGGGCAACCTGTGGCTGGCACCAGGACAGGCTAGCCATCGGGGTGTCCCATCCCTTCCATGTCCCCAACATGTCAAAAGGCGACTACAGACCTCGGTCAGCAGGGACGGCGGTGGTGCCGAGGGGTACACCCAGCCGCTGCGGCACTTCTCCGTGGTGTTCAGGCCATACACCACGATGGAGTCAAGGTCCCAGTCCACCGGCGAGTACATGGAGCACCGGACATACTCCCCATCTGCATCCCGGGGCAGGGTGAGGTTCAGCTGCTCTTCCTCGGTCAGGTTGGGGCAGACGGCAAGGATCCAGCTGGTGTCACAGTAATGTGGCACATTTGAAACCATAAAAAGTTGGCAAAACTGGTGGAAAGCCACACTGAGGCATGGAAACAAGGTGAGCAGCACCAGCCGTTTCTGAAACGGCCCAAAATCACCAACCGCTTTCAGAATTTCCCCGACGCCCGACATTGGCAGCTGCGTCTGGAACAGGACAGTGCTGGAGCAGACTCTCCAAAGGGCTGGAATTAATGTTTAAACCTAAGATAAGCTCTGCATTCGGAGGCAGCCACCACAAACATGTAAAGTCAGGATAGACTTAATGCCTGATGTTTTACCTGTCCTAAGTACACCCTGTAATATATTAATCATCTCTGTACCACTCACAAACATATGGTGCTGGCTAGAGAAGGACCCTGGTTTCAGGCACCCCGGATCACCCCCTCTGCAAGTCCAGGTGGCATTGAGAGGGGGAAAAGACTCTTCTCCAAAGCAACTGCACAAGCTGCATTTGCTAAACCACTTGAGACAGTCCCTGGCAGTTCCACTTGGGCAGGAAAGGTTCAGAGAGGACAAGACAGCCCAGAGTGATTCAGAGCTAGGAAAAGTCCAGGGAAATAAAGGGAGTGATGCTAACGGATGAGGAGAGCCGGAGAGGAGGAAGGACGGCCAGCTGGCTGTGCACCCAGGTGACAGGAGACTCTTCCCTTCACCTTCTGCAGCTTTCCTGTGCAACCAGGAGCAAGCCACAGACGGGATGTCCACCCTTCCCACCAGTCCTGGGCCACCCCACGGGCTGGAAAGATGCAGGAAAGACTTGGGGAAGGCATACAGGGATGGGAGAAATCTGCAACAGGGCATTTCCGCACACAAGTCCTGTAGAACATCCCCCATCCCTTCCTCACTCAGTCTTCCTGGGGGTTGTCAAACCTCCCACCACCCCAAACAGAAATGTCCCAGGGGCTGCAGACACCACTCAGACAAATCCCTTCCCCAAGAGAAACCATCCAACCCAACGACATGTAAACCACATGCCAAACACGTGGCAATGGACAATTTGTTCTTTATTGATTAAAAATTAGACATGCAGTAAAATACAAAGTCCAAAAAAAGGAAAAAAGCCTGAATATTTTACATCTTTCATTATAATCTACAATACACCAAAGTTGTGAAGAGGATCCGTTTTCATTAACAGAGCATTGTCCTTAAAAGTAGGAACTAACTTAAAATTACCACCTGCTTCCAGGTTCAGATCAGAAATTTGCACAAAAACCAAATTCTTAATGACACTGGAAAACAATTATGAACAGCATTGGCACTTACTGGAACAACATCAGAAAAGACAGTTGTCTAGCACTGTAATAGCCCAAGTAAAAATTCAGGATCCCTACCCAAAACATTTGGAGGTCTATAGGGGGGGGGAAAAAAAAAATCAGTTTCTTCCTGACTTATTTTCTCCATTAAAGAACTAAGGAGCCTTGGGTTACTGTGAGCTCATGCTCCCCAAGTGCTGGCTTTGGGAAGGTGGGGAATAACTTAATAAATAGATGCTGCATTGTTCCATTTGAGCAGACCGAGTCCTACCTTTCTCAGCACCAGCACACAAACGAACAAGGAGGTCCCCATGGCATGCAGGCAGAAGGGAAAATAATACTGTACCAAGACTACCTTGTCTCCCTATCCTAAGGGTTTCCAACACATCCATATCGACCATAGGGTGATGTGAAAATCGAGATGCCAGCCTGCTCTTCCCAAGCCAAGAAGCTCGATGGGGGAAGTCGTAGGGAGTGATTTGTGTTAGTCAACAGGAGAAAGTGTCAGAGGTGCCACACGCACACACACACACTTGCCCAAACCTGGCCACCAACTCCCTGGTATCAGGCACCTGCTTCCTGGGCTCTTGAGAGCATCTCCTCAGCACCCCAGGATGCTCTCGCTCCCAAACCCTCCCTCTCCTCTCCACACTCACCAGCCATGGGGCTGCAAATAGCCCACAGGGACATACCCAATATATCCACCAAGAGGCTAAAAGCACCAAGGGTGGTATAAAAAGAACATGCACAATTCAGGAAGCTTCCACAGCTGCTCATAGAGAACAATATATAAATACAGATTGTTCATCTGAAGACTTGGAAATAATAAAAAAAAAAAGTCCTAATTGAACCCAGTCATTCCGCTTTAACACTCTGTTTCTGCATTGTTTGTGGCTGAGGGGAACCAAAAACGTTTCCATCTGTGTGGTAAGTTACAGGCTTACAGTTTCTGTGTAGAAAACACTCCAGAGCCAATAGCAGTTACAAAGGCCAACTGTGAAACAGTAGGGAAAAAAAAATCAACACCATTTATTATTCACATATTGCATTACAAGTGTCTTATCAAACTCAAGAGTATAATTTATATTATTCATGTAGAAACTCAAACTCAACACCACACAGAAAGAAAGGCTAAATACGTGTGTGACAGGGTTTCAGTGACATCCTGATCAAACGTCGAGGCTTGGACCGAGGAGAAGGCTGACGACCCAAGCCATTAGTGCAGGAGGGACACAGCCCGGCACTCGCTTGCCCAGTACTACCACTCTCCTGGCAATTCTTTATTGCTGTGAAACACGACAAGGATGGTTCCACGGGTACCAGTTTGCAAAGGACTGGGAAACACGTCGGGAGGGCTCGCACAGCTGGGCAAAGGGACTGGGCTTCAGGAACAGTTTGAAGTGCATCTTTTCCAAATGCAGAGTGACCCAGGTCTCCTCTCCCTTTGACCACGAGCATTTTGTTGATCATCTGAAAGACCAGTTTCCAGACAGCGATGCCTCGTTGGTCTGCTTCAAGAACACACTACATCTAAGATGCAGAATTAAAGACATTTTGAGGAAGGACTGCTTAACGTAAATTAAAAGGTTCAGCCCTCATGCCACGCCTGGCACTCATGTGGAGAGAACCAAAATGGTAAAAAAAAAAAAAGAAAAAATAAAATTAAGGCAGTTTACAAAGGAAAGCTGACTTCTAACACCTCAAAGTCAAGGAACTTCTCAAAAACACAAACACAAGGGAAGGTGGCTCTCCCTCCCATGGGTTAAGACTTGGCTTGCTGTCTCAGGTGCAAGCATTCAAACCAGCAGTTTTAAAAAAACACAGCTGAAGAGAAGCAGATTTCTCAGCACTCCAGGTGACCCAAACAACATGTACATTGGTGTTTCACATAGAGGAAGAAGCAGGTAAAGAACAAAAAAAGATCCGTTCAGTATTAAAACTTGTGCAAAAATAGCAAGTGAAAAAAATGAAACCACATGTAAGCAAACGTTTAGGCAAGATCATCAGAGCAGTGGAACCCCCTGCTTCGTACTCAGTAGTATTTTTTCTTTAAAGTAAGGCAATAATAAAATGAACATGCAGGCAATGATGTGTTGGGTCTGCATGTTTGAGATGACAGATACAAAAACATGAGAGTTGTTTACAAAAGGTGTAAACGCCACCGGTAATTTCAGGAAGGTTTGTGATCCTATTAAGGAAAATGTTAAAGCTTCTAGGAAGGGGGCTGTAGTTCAATTCTTTGGCAGTAGTGGTTTTGTGGTTTTTTTTTAGGCTAACAGAAGCATTACGAATATGCACATGTGGGTTCTCGGTTGGGAAACATCTCCTGGGACCATTGTTTAGCTGATGCTGAGCTGTGCAAATCCTATAAGCTTGCCATCATCAGGAATATCTGAGCCTTCCACACCAGATGCCTGAAACACAAGTAACAGAGATCCAAATAGCAACGCACACGCTTGACCCTCCGATACACACCATGCCACGTATCACAACCAAGTGGATCAGATATGGTCTGGGGAGGGAGCAGTCACAGGACAGCTTCACACTGGATTCAGCAGCTCACACTACCCAAAATTAAAACTGAGCGCTTTTTTATGGGGTTTTTTGGCCTTTTCTTTTTGAAGCTAGGAAGGGCTGGGACTGAAGTTTTGCTAATGTCTGCTCTAGCTAAGGCTACATGCACTAACTGGGGCAAAACAAGCAAAAACTCCTTAAAGAGTCAAAAATAATGGCACTTACTGCTTCACTACCAACAAGCTGGTTACACCTTTGCTTTGCCACTATAACTACCTCTGAACTGCACCACCTCTGAAGGATTCATCTGCCGTTCTTTCTCCTCTCCTAGCCTATCTTCTCTTAGTTTTGTCTCTCTTCTTTTGTTCCCTGGTCTTTTTTTTTTCTCTCCTTTTCCTCCTCAGAGACAATGTATCTGGACCCTCACCATTCTCCTCCTCAAGAAAGAAGCCCACGGCATTTCTTAGCCCACTTACCTGCCCTGAAGTATTTCAGCCCTGCCTGGGCAAGTGTATATTCCAAGGCCAGAAAATACCCTTTTGTAGCATTTTTACATGCTTATTAGCCAGGATAAGGCAACATTTGTATTATCATCTCTCACTTATTTAACCCAGGTGCTGCTCAGAGGAAACAAGCAGGGAGCCTGCATTGCCTACTGTTAGACAACCAGTAGGAAGCTCTGAGTAAGAAGGGAGGATTTAGAGTGTGTACATTACATGCCTACAGTAGACATCACAGGCATCTATATGCAATGCCTTCTCTTTGCCAGGGACAACTTGTTCAATTAGGGAACAGGAATAAATACCAGTTTGAAAGTGACGGATCTGTTTGCTTGGGGCTCTTCCACAATTTTCTGCAAATTAGCTGCAACTGAAATCACACACACACACACAAAGAAAACAGGCAAATATTAGGACAGGCTAGACAAAAACATCCCAAGCTCATTAGGCCTCTTTCTATCAGCCAAACTTAGAAATTTTTGAAATTATAAAAAAGTTTAGGTCTCAATTAGACTCAAACTACTTAAATCTAAAGCTTTAAACTGTGCAAATGCTCTCATTTGTCACTATGCTGCTTTTTCAGAGGTAGTTATTTTTTCCTGAATATCGTGGGATTAGTAACAGTAAACTGCCCAACTGCCCTGGAAATCCAGTTAATTTTGCACTAGCAGCCTTTCCAGATGTTGCAGCCTGTGTACAAGGAACAGGTTTGCTTGCTGTAGTCGAAATACATAGACAGTGCTGACAGTTTAAGTCTCGCCTGCTGCACAGAAGGACACATTTATTTAGCCAACTGTTGCTAGAGGTAGCTGTTGATCTAGCTGTTCATCCCTGTACAACACTGGCTGCTGCCCCAGCGCATGTG